ACCCCGCGGCACGCGGGACCCTCCCGGACCGGGGCACGAACCCGCGCCCCCCCGCATCGGCAGGCGGGCTCCCAACCACTGCGCCACCAGGGAAGCCCTACTGGTTTCCTTTTAACGTGAACAACAGCTTTGGGAGCACATTAGAAACAAAATCCTAGGCTAATGGTTTTCATTTGGTGTGTTATCACCAAAAAAGGACATTTGGGGTTGTCAAAATGACGTGGGAGACGTTACTGCCATTTGTACAGGGGATACAAGGATATAAAACATGTTTTGCACAGTCTTAGTATACAACAAATTGTTTATGAATATAACTGTCCTATTAAAAAATAAATAAAATAAGTTAAAATGTACTTAACTTCATTTCAAATTGGTCTCATTCAAGTATAGTAAATAGAGAGTAGTGTATATTCCTTTTCAGCCTTTAAATTAAAACAAAAACATTCCTAGACAAAATATTAAATCACTCTGAACAACCAACAAACTAATACTCTACATAAAAGTCTTATGTTTGTGATCAATTAGTCTGTTTGGATAAGGCACCTACATTCATGTGGCCAGAGCATAATATAAAAAGTTGCATATAAACAACTCTCATGTATGCAACCGAGATCATTACAAAGATATATTTACTTAACACAGTGTGAAGGAAATTTATGGCAAAAATCTGGATTATCTGCATAAAGCAGTCACCTAGTCTAGATAATCCAGGACCCAAAATTAACTGGAAGTTGAGAGAATTAATTGCTCAATATACCTGTTCCTATAGAAAGCATAACAAATGTTTGTCTAAGCTAATTATTTAATATGAAACACTGGTGGAAATTTCTTACCTTGGTAACGTTTTGCAAGTTAGAAGGCTTTTAAGCCATTATATTACTAATGATCAAATGTTCTTTGGTTGCCAGAAAATAAAATTTTAGTAAAATATATTTAATGATTCACTTACGACAAAAGTTCATGACAAACCAATTGCTAGACCAGTTTATGCTGATTTTAAATAAGCACCAAAAAATGGCTACTCAAAAAGTAATTTTGGAAGACTGCATTCCACAACACTATTAAGTTGTCAATGACTCTGAGGGAAAAAAATCAAGTTAACATGTTCACTGCTGTTAAAATGACTCCCAATTCTCTGTAACATGGAGACTGAGTTTTCCCCAAAATGTCCTCTTGTAGTCAGTCAGCATGGTTACCTACTTTGTGAGCATCTGAGGCAAAGCTGAGTTTTTTTTAATAGTCCACATTTGATGTGCCTAGTGACCGTTTGGTTGATATCTCAACTTTTTCGGTGCATTTAAGTGGAGAAGTCCCCTAAAACCTATTTGCTTAACTACAGCCTTGGTTCCATAAAAGGACGGAAAAACAGGCTGATGTTGCCTTAGCCTTATGCTTTGGCAAAAAAAGGCATACTGCATTTTTACATACGACATACTTTACAATTTTACATATTACATACATACTGCATTTTACGTACTAGAATTCCCTTTTAGTTCGAAGAGCATTCTTATAATGCTAGGAACTCTTTTATTCGAGTGTACGTACAAATGCTCATTTTTCTGTCAAATGAACTTTCTACTCTTCTGTCTCTTTTCAGTTTTACTAATATATGTATTTCTTTTAGTACATCAAGTTATATGGGAAAGAAAGATCACGGATGATTAACAACAAAATGGTTTCATTCTTCAGTTTTGAAAGTTTATTTATAAAGATAATTACTTTTTAAAGTTAAAATGTCAGGTTTATAATATGAAGTTTATAATATGAATAATAGGAAGACATATAATAAGATCAACAGGGATTCTTTCCATTATTTAGTATAAGAAAATAATGATGAAAAAATATCCATGCTAAGACATCCCAAAATATTCTCATAATGCCACTAAAAATTGCACTACTAAGAATATTTAGAGTTTATAATAAATAACAAAGTTACTTGTTTTACTCTCTTATGTATCACTTACGTCTGGTTCCTTGATAACCTCTGACGTAGTGTTCAACATTCCCTGCCAGATCCTAGAAAGATCTCGAAGGTTAAAAATATAATGGAATTTTGCAGGGGTAGGGAGCATTTTAATCTTAGTCATCTGCCACAGTCGGCGTGTCAGGGGAACCAGTTTCGTCACTGAATCTCTCACTTCTTCTGAGAAGCCCCTTTGGGTACAGTAGTATCCTATCCCAATCACACCTGAAAGGGGAAAAAAGTCATAACACTTTGACTGACAGTTCAGATCACCTAAGTGAAAATGAAAAACATTATAATGCAGAGTACAAAAATAATTCAACATTTTAATAGTTAACCACATATTAAAGAAATTTCTATTAATTAATGTTCTTTGGGGGTTTTTTAAACCTACAAAGTAGGTATAGTCACAAGCAAGTTAGCCTTCAAATACTGAAAAGTTGACTAAGAAATACTATTGAAAACTCTAGCTGAACTGATTCAGTATTATTAAATGGGTAACAATGATGAATATATAAAGTTGCCTTAGAAAAAGATAAGAAAAAGGGAGGTTTCGTGAATCCTCTAAGATTTCTCCATTCTTTTGTTGCCTTTCCATGCATTATAAAATATTTTAATTTACAGGTAAAATTTTCCAGGCAAAAAAGAATAATTAAAAGCGGTAATAGGGCTTCCCTGGTGGCGCAGTGGTTGAGAGTCCGCCTGCCGATGCAGGGGACGCGGGTTCGTGCCCCGGTCCGGGAGGATCCCACATGCCGCAGAGCGGCTGGGCCTGTGCTCTGCAGCAGGAGAGGCCACATCGGTGAGAGGCCCGTGTACAGCAAAAAAAAAAAAAAGCGAAAATAGTCATTCCTTCTAGTCCATTTTACTTCTCCCAAGTTTAGATAATTCCCATGTCATTTGGTTTCCAAACCTTTGCCCACCACTGTGATTGAAGGCAGATACTGCCATACTGCACTACCCTAGGGCACTAAGAAGACATTCTAGTCTGCCAGAAATTTATTAGGGTAATCTTAGTTAGTTTTTTCTCAGTTGCAATTTCAGAAATGGTAAATTAGTACCTAACACGAATGCATGCAAAACTTTACACTTTTTCTGAAAAGAGTGATTCCATAATCAGTTTCTAAACTCATTTTCATTTCTCAGTTAAATAATTATGGTTATCGATTGCGCTAGTGTTTCTTGGGTGAATTTATTTCTGAAACGCTGCATATATAATCAATCAGTAATTTATTACAACCCTATAAATTACTCTGAGGATCAGACTCTGGCTAATCTCCACTCTGTGCAATATTATTTCTTTGGCCAAAATCGTTATATGGGTTGGTTAGGTATCAGCTACATAAACTTTTGGTATGGCACTATATCAATGCAGACCTCAAATATGTATACCCACGAGGAAAGCATCTCATCGTGTCTAAGACCATTTAATGTTTAACCTCCTGGCTTAAGAAGCTAGCGACAGTTTCTTAAAGAAATACATAGGCAGAAAAAATCTACTTAGCACTCAACTCAGTACATACATAATAAAGTAAATCTTTATATAAACAAAATACACTGCTTGAGAGTGATGAAGCCCGTAGACTAAGGAACCACCCAATGCTCTTTCCGTGTTGACCTCTAGGTGGACATATTCTCACTGGAAACCAAGCAGGGATTCTTCCCTCCCATGCCCCACTGACATTCACTTTACCAAAGATCTTGTCCACAGAAGCATCAGAGGGCAACGTGCAGTTAAATATAGAGAACTGCCTCTTGAGCCTTTGGGGTATATCATTGCGTCCGCCCCCAGGATGGATCATAGCTGCTAAAAACTGTATGTCCACAATGCTGGTAAACTCCCCAGGCTTCTCTAGGTTATAAAATCCATTCTGTCCCATCAGTTGTCATACTATCTCATTAGTAACCTAAGAAAGACAACTTTCAGAATTAAAATGTCATTCCTTTATATCCCTGGACGTAACTCTTTGAGTGTTTTCAAATAATGGACCTTATTGGAATTTAGGAATTGCAAGTTGAAAAAGTAAAAAATATTTACTCATCAAAAAATAAATCAATGAGGAATTAGGCAAATAAAGTGCACAATAGGATCGATATACCTGGTCTCCCCACTCATTGATTATTGGCATGTTCACATCATCAATAAAACCAGTCATCTTCTTTCCTGCTGGAGGGCCATATGTTGTGCCCATGCGTTTATCCACATAGCTCTCTATTGTCCTCTGTTAAATAGAAAAGTCAACAGAAACATCTGTGAAAATATCCCCTGACATGGTTAATTATTTTAAAAATCCAGGAAACTTTGAAATGACAGAAATTACTCAGAAAAACCCCAAAATGTCCCTTAATTCTGGAAAGCAGGGCATGAGGTACCTAACTTTTCTTGCATAACGTTTATAACCTTTGAAAATCTGGTTTAATTTAGGAGTAAAGAAAATTCTGATCAATGTAAATCTTGAATGGGATGAGACTCTTCTGTTTATTTCTACAGACTTAGTTTTGTCTTATTGTGCCTACGTTGGTGACAATATAATATAACCCTAACCCCCATTATTCAAAGGTCCAGCCCTCCTCAAAGTTTCCTTATAATCATAGACAAAGCTAAACAGGGCTACTGTCCAAGAGGCTTCTCAGATCTTGCTCTGAGCTCCAAGGGCTGCCATAATCTGAAGACTGTTCTCTCTTTGTTGAGAAATCTGCCAACTGGCTTCTGCAGCTTCGGTGGTACAGGAGGAAACTGCACTGTGCTCTATAAAAAAATGTCCTAGCAATGTGGAGAGGAATACTAAAACTGACAGAAGGGGTGGGTGTTGGAAGGAGTAAGGGGGACATGAGGGAAGAACCCCAGACTACTGACTACAGTATTAACATTTCCATGGTCATAGAGTTTAGTCTGGAAATCAATCAGTTGTTCAGAATATATGTACTGAGTAAGCAGAGCCAGCACTGCAAAGAAAACAGAAAGGGCTCACACGTCTCATGCTCCGGAAACTCAATCTTAAAGACCTCATTTTATTCCCACTGATTCATGATTTAAGTCATGTTAAAGATAATGTATAAATATAAGAGAAAGTGGAGGTGTATTGAGATAACATGCATTCTCATCCTATCCAAAAAAGAGTTTCCTTATTTCATGAAGAGCAAACCAGTTAAAATGACATTAGTAACCCTTCAAGATACAACCATGAAATAAGGCCAAGATATAAACAAAAATCTATACATCTGTCCTTGAATATTTCCCCAGTTTGGTAATTTCAAATTGTAATTTTCTGTCATCAATTTAATGAACAATAGCAAAAGATGTGAACATTTTTCACCATTTTAAAATAGAAAGATATATAAACATATCACACACATTTCCCATGACAACAGTACAATGGCAAGAAGAATTTCATATTCCCCTGACATAAAAGAAAACTGTTTAAAGTAATGTACTAGGCTAAATTTAGCTCTCCTCAATGAATTTAAATGGATAAAGCAATTAATAATCTCTTGACAACTCCCTATGGCAAACTAGAGCCTTGCAGATATTCCCTTGTCCGTTAATGAGAACTCATAGGCACATGAAGATTTTATGTCTTGGGGGGCCTTCTAAGAGCTAAAAGCCATAGGTGGAACAGGTGACATAATATGGAGTAATAGCCACATACCTGCACTTCCTTCCCCTTCATTATGACCCTAATTTCTTTGAAATAGCAGAAAATTACTAGAAGGAATTCATTTTAATATATAAAATTATTACTTTTATATATATATATATATATATATATATATATTCACAGAAAGAACCATGCACATGCACACTCGCGAAAAGGGATATATATATATATATATATATATATATATATATATAAAATTAAAAAGCTAGGTTGATAAAAACAAAAACAAAGGAGGGAGAAAAATTTAATACCTTGTGAACCTAGAAGCTGAGACTTCTTCCTGTGTTCGTAACTGCTGGCCATTAAATAGCTACCGAATGAACTGGGGAGTTGGATAAGATCTCCCGAAAGCCTGAAACAGTAACTTCATGTTCTCCTTCATCATAGGTCTATGTGTTTGGGAATATTTAGGAAAACCGTAGACTTGGACTCGTATCTCCAACTGGACTTCCCCACTTAGATGATCCAGAGCATCACAAAATCAACATATCCAGACGCAGCCGTCTCTGTCTCATCACAAAATCTGCACCCACCCCTAGGTGCTCATCTCAGGGATTAGCACCAACTACCTAAATCTCAACCAAACATTTCCACATCCAACATCGAGAAGTTCTACTGCAATTTAAATACTGCTTTTTAATGTATCTCATCCTGTCTGAAAAACAATATGCCCTTGATCAGTTATTTGTCTTTCTAATACGGATTAATGCCACAACCTTTTAAATTGCCCTCCCTGCCTCCAGTCAGGCCTGGAAACTTCTTCATAAGTCATATACAATGTCTATATTGTGTGATTTACAATTTTGTCTAGACTCTTCTGTCTCCCCAAAGAAATCAGTTTAAAGAATAATTTATCATCTTTGTAGTATTCTGCCAGCCATCTTCTCCCTGGTCTCCTTGATCTACTGTCCCATCTCATCCATCTTTTTGGTGATATAAACCATGGTCCAGTTAATAAAACCAAATAGATATATTCATTGATGTGACTATTGTCTGTCTCTCCCACTAGAATGCAAGGGAGGCAGCACCTTGTTTATCTTGTTCATCACTGCCTCCTCAGTGTCTAGAAAGGTGTCTGGTACAATATACTTATCGGTAAATATTTGATACCTAGATCAATAAAGACAAGAAACTTGGGAGCCATCTTTAACTTTTTTTCTCTCTCTCCCATCCCTCTCCTCCAACACTATCCACTCAACCAAAAACGAGTCCTGTCTGTTCTGCTTCTCAACCACAATTTGAACGCATCCTTGTGCTCTTTCTATTCCCACTTTTACTGTCTTGGTCCAAGTCAACCTCTCTCTGGAGGAATCACTGTAACCATCTCCTCTCAAGTCTCTCTGAGTACAGCCCTCTCTCTTCCATCTGCAGCCAGAATGAACTTGCTGAGTGCTGATGTAATCCTGCTTAGTATTCCAGTGGTTCCTTATTAGTGACTTACAAGGAACACCATGACGCTCCCTGCTCACCTTCCAGTCTCATTTCTAAACATTCCTTTTCAGGCTCTTGGTTCCGGCCCATCACGGTCTTCATTCATTCATAGTCAGTTAACAATAAAACAGTAAAATGATGCTCCTCTCAGACTGATTTACAGTATTCATTAAGAGATCCTTATTTACATATTCCTAACGTAGCCATTTCTGAGCCAGAAATCTCTCAGCATTAGTAGTACCCAAACACAATTTGTGAAATATTGACTTAGATGAATGATCTTCCATAAAAGTCACTTCTCTCAACCCAGCTTATTGGTAAAGAGTTGAAATCTCTAGCGAGGGCCTGGACCAAGGGTAGTTTATGCCGTTCTCTGAGAATAGACAATAACTTGACTCTGAAATAGGAGAATGGTAGTCAGCATGACATCATCTGAAGCAATTGGGGCACCTAAACAACTTTCTGACCTCATTGTCTGTCTAGCTCACACATACATGGGATACTAGAGTGAACCCCAGCTGTGACAGTGACATTTTAGACGTAAAACACAGATGGTTAGTCATCCAGATAGACTTAGGAATGGGGTTGAGGAAAAGCCATTCTACACTACTCTTCTTCAATCCAAATGAAAAGCTCTAAAACTGGGGCAATTCAATTTTCTGAATTAGTCTCTTAATAGACAACTCAGCCTCTGTAATCTCTAAAATATTAACATTATATAAATATTAAATTCCCCCAAGTAATGGTCAACTCTTTCATTACGTTTAGTCCTGTGATTCCCTAACAAAATGAATCCCCTCCTCCTCTGGGCCCCAGGGTACTTAGATTACTCCATAAGTAGCACTTATCACATCAGCCATACTTGATTGTGCACATGTCTGTTTCCCCAGCCAGCGGGAGAAACAGGTACAGTTGAGGAGGTTGTGCACTGCCCAGTTCTTGCGTTCACTATTCGCATTATTGTCTCTGTGAATGGGACATAACACAAAATCTGCGTAAACTGCAATGGCCTTATGCAATAGCCCCGACTGGGTTTAAAGTTAGAAAAAAAAGGGGTTAAACTGCTACTTCCCCCACTTATTAGCTTTATGACTTATAAGTCGTTTTAAACCACATAAGTCACTGGACCACAGCTCAAAAGTGGGAATGTATATAGAGATACATAAATCATGTATATGTATGTGTGTGTATACACACAACAGAATATTATCCATAAATGATATAATACATGTGAAGGCACTTAGTGAATTTAATGCATCATAAAAATGAAAGATATTTTTATTACTATAGGTATCTCTATATATCAGCACTTAAATCATTCTTCATACATATTACATCCAATCAAATTGAAATACAAAATATACTTAAGTTTAGGCTTCCATGTATCTGCTATTTAGCTAAAAGATAAAAATGGAGAGCTTATGCTTTTTATTAAGAAATCTACCTTTCCATTTTATTGTAACTCATCAAAACCAAATGAAAACAGAATTATATTAGTAAAGTTTAAAATTCTCAATAGCACATTATAAAAAGTAAAATTATGTCAAAAATAACATGAAAATATAATAATAAGTGACTAAAAGCTAAAAATAAAAAAAAAATGCACTGTGATAAATCAGCCATTTTAATATTAATAGGAACAAAGAAAAGCCATTGGAAGGATCAGATGGGTGAACTGGAAAAGCACAGTGGAAGACATGGGAACTTGGTTTCTCACCCAGGTTCTGCCACCAACTAACTATCTGGGAACTCAAATGAGTACTTCAATCTTCCTCAACCTGAGTGTGTTAATATTAACTGTGAAACCTGACATTTTTAGAGAGCTTTTTACCATAAAAAAATACTTTCACATATTATATCTTAAGAGTCTCCTCTGGAAACTGGTCTTCAGGCTATGCTCTGAAGCATAGAAAGGATTTTCTTCAATCACACGGGCCCCTACAGGAAGCAAGAAGGAGGTTGGAAGGGATTTCAGGATTTCAGGGATTTCAGGATTTCAGGGATTTCAGCTCCAATTCCATCAAAGCAAATCCCTTGTTACCTGTTTGATAGATTAGCCTTCTACATAAGATTTCATTAGGAAAAGTGGTTCTGAGTCTAGGAAAAAATGTGGAATTTCCTTCCAAGCTCTACAATTGTCATTTTCAAAAAACAAAACCTATATATACACAAACATTTGTAAGACGGTTGTTGCACTCAGAATACTTCGAGATTATTTTTAGAACAGAGAAATCTTTTCAGAGATTCTCTTAAGAAATTTTCTTTTTCGTCTTATTTTCTGTATTGTTTACATTTTTAAAGGTACGTGTGAATTACTTTCAAAAGTAAAAAAATTAAAACAATATTTGTTTTGAAAAAAAAAATCATCTCTCTTAAAAGACGGACTGAAACTTCCTCAGCCAAAAAGAGGGTGACCATATAATTTTGGTCCAAACTTCATACTTTGGATAGTAACAGGGATGCTATTCATTATTCATCTGAGACAACAGAAATTAACTGGACAATCCCAGGAAAAGAGGGACATAGAGTCTGTCCTCCTGCTGATAAAAGATGTGAAAGTGACACCATGGTAAAAACAAAGGAAGTTCAGATGAAAACAACCTGTCAAGTAACAGACGTGTGTCCTTGACACATGTGCCATCATGGCAACACGGGAGGGATGGACGGTATCTATTTTCTCACCTACAATTTCAATTTGGTTTGGATCCAAATAAATGGGACACACAGAGACAAATGCTCAGCTCCATCAGCCCTTGTTTAGCATGAACGGCTGAAAATTATAGTGAGAAAGTTAATTACAGCAGTTTGGCTAATTGGAAGTTTTCTAAAACTAATGAGTCTAGCTTAATTGAAAGCCCTGATGCTTAGCAGTCAAAACAGGCACTAAACAGACCAGATGATCCTGTGAAGCCTCTGAACAGAAAAAGAAATAGTGAAGTGTTGAGACCGCTTTCTTACTGAAGGATAGGAAGGATTTGGGTTAAACATCAATAGCTGTGAATCAGATAATGGAACCCTGAAGAATACAGATGTTCATGTTATGAAAACCTGCTTTTTTCTTCTTCTAATGTATTATACTTCGATATGGTACTGCTTCTAGAAATTTATTACATGGTTCATGAATTTGTATATTAATAAGCAGGATGTTTTCTAGATTACGTGTGCCTTTTTCTAGGAAATTAATAAGTATTTCATGCTACAGAGACATAAAGCACAGGTCTTTACCACCTGAGAGGTGTAAATATCACCAAGAGTTACTAGCAAAAATATGTGACAACTCCTTGCCATATACTAAAGAATTTGGCTAGCCTTTGTCCCTGGCTCCTAGGAGGGAGCCTTTAAACCCTTGGAATTTCCCACATAATAAGAACATCTTTGTTATTCATCGTGGGCCCCTCAGACCACTCATGCCAGAAAGACCAAACTATGATTAGAGTGTTAGGGCTTTAAACCACGTGATATCAGCTGACTTCCCAGGGGGAAGGGGTTTGGAGACTGACTTCAATCACATGGCCAACCAGTCATGCCTATGTAATAAAACTTCAGTAAAAACTCCAGACATTGAGGCTCAGGCGAGCTTCCTGGTTGCTGATATACACAGATATGCCTGGAGAGTAATACATCCTGAGGACAAAGAAGGTTCATATTCGGGACCCTCCCAGACCTTGCCCTATGCATCTTCTTTGGGCTGATCTCAATTCATATCTTTTATAATAAAATCATAAGCATAGCATTTTCCTAAATTCTGTGAGTCATTCTGGTGAATTATCAAAACTGACAGGGGTCATAAGACCTTTCAGTCTGCAGCCAATTGTTCAGAAGTGTTGGTAGCCTGGGAACCCCTGAGCTTGTGGCTGGTTCTGAAGTGAGAGAAGTTTTGTAGGCACTGAGCCCTTCACCTGTGAAGCCTGCACTAACTCCAGGTGGTTGCTGTCAGAATTGCACTGCAGCCCTAAAGATTCAATCCACTCCCAAGAAATGTGAAAAGCTAGATTGCTACCCTACATAATGAAAAAAAAAAAATCACACTTTGATTTAATGCTTAACAATCTGCATCCACAAGTAAGGTTATATTATAACCTTTAAAGAGATGTTCTCCAAAAGTAAAACAAAGTTTTAAAAATATAAAATAGTATCAAGGGAATGTGTATAATGTTAGCACCTTGCCAGCCTAGGATAATCTAGTGTGCAGTTCCCCAAACACAAAAATGCCACTGCTGAGTCGCTGCAATCTGGGGTTCACCTTCGATCCAGACCTTCCCAACACAACAGTGTGTAAATGATATTCATTAATGATAGAAGGCTAGCCAGTTTTGGAAATTCCATCTCTAACAGAGGAGCATAATGTTTTGACAGCCTTATTTAGAAACTTAATCAATGGTCTTAGCTTTTTGGCACTCTGTAGTCACCAGTTACATCAAGTGATTAAAAAGTCATGATTTAACCTTGTTCTCAAGAATTTTCATTGCTCTTTGATATTTTCATTCCAACAACTAAAGAACAACGAAGTTAATCAAAAATGAAGTTCTTTGGATTTGAATTCCCCTAAAAATTTCCCTTCCATTTTCAATTTATGAATGTACCTTTTCCTAACTCTTTTTCATATGTATCTTTTCAAGTGTACCATTTCATACATTTCAATTTATAAAATGTATCTTTTATTAATGTATTAACTTCTAATAAAGGTATCATAGATTATTTGCAAACAATTAAAGCATGGACTGAAGTTTAAGATTTACTCTCTGGTTTCTTAAATAATTTAGGAATAGGAGAAAAAGAACCAGTTAGCCACTGCAAGCCCTGGTCAATCTTGGCAGTTCCACTGACAAAAGCCATGCAAACTTGAGAGTTGTTCTCTGTTCCTCCTCAATGATACCACAAGCAAAATCTCTAATGTGCTAAGATTCTAAGATTGTATTCCTTGCTGCAATGGATAATAGGAGCCATTGGGGAATGTTAAGTCAGTGAACAACAAGATAAATAGGAACCAGAGATTATTCTTTGATGCTAATACCCTGTTGTGGAATCATGAAGTAGATAATGTAGAGGTGGATGGGGGAAGGGAGAAAAAGGAAACAGCATGAAAAGTATTTCCTTAGATATATTAGCAGCCCTAGACTCAAGAGAGAGACCATCAAAGATGACTCTAGCGTGTCTATCCCAATGACTAGAATAATAGTAACACCCACAGAAAAGCAGACAGTAGGGAAAAGAAGTAGGTTTAGGTGGGGAATAAATAACATTTCTTTCAATTTTGGATTTTGCATGTTCACAGGCGTTTCTACAGAGATATTCTAAACGGTGTTGAGGCTTTTAACACCATATATAATCTTTTTGTTTCTCCATAATTTAAGATTATACGTTATCATCCAACTAGGGGGAGATTCTATTGCAACAGAAAACTAGAGATAATAGAAGACGTATGCAGGGATTTACTATGGCTGTGAAAGTGCACATGAAGTTCAGTGGGTACAGCAGAACAGCATGAGATTTGAGCCTCCAAAGCTTATCACAAACCTGGGCTGAACCGGCAGCACCAGTGAGCCAGTACCTGAAACATCAGTGGGGTGGTTGCAGAAGAAAAGTTCAGACTCTTGATCATGTGGCTTTCAGGATCGTACTTTGACATAAATCCCTTGATTATGACCGTTTTGGCTGTTCCTTGTTCACCAATTAACAGCACAGCCTAAAATAGGAGTTGAGAAAGAAATCCAAGAAACACAATAAAATTATTGTCATGGGCTGGATTGTGTCCCCACAAAATTTATATGTGGAAGCCCTAACCCCCAGTGCCGCAGAATGTGACTACGTTTGGAGACAGGGTCTTTAAAGGGATGATTACATGAAAAATGAGGTCGTTAAGGTAGGCTCTTGTTCAGTCTAACAGGCATCCTTACAAGAAGAGGACATTTTGACACACAGAAAAACAAGGATGCACACACAAAGACCATGGGAAGACACAGTGAGAAGACAGCCATCTGCAAGCCAAGGAGAGAGAGAGGGCTCCAAAAAAACTAAACCCGCCAACACCTTAATCTTGCATTTCAAGCCTCCAGAACTGTACAGAAAGAAATCTTCGTTGATTAAGCCACCGAGCCTGTGGTATTTTGTTATGGCAGCCATGGCAAAATAATACAATGATCAAAAGAGAAGGATTTCTCTTTAGAAAAACAAGTCAAAATTCACTTTCTCTCAATATATGAAAAATCATTACTTAATTATGAATTAAAGCTATTCAACTCTAATATTGTTACTGAGGAATAATAAAAGAAGTATATTAATTTGGGTAATACTTACATTTATTCTAAACAGCAACATAAAACATCCTAAAATAAATGCAAGATGCTTCATGTTTTCTTTTTTCTCTTTTTAACATCTTTATAGGAGTATAATTGCTTTACAATGTTGTGTCAGTTTCTGCCGTATAACAAAGTGAATCAGCTATATGTATACATATATCCCTATACCCCTCCATCTTGCATCTTCCTCCCACCATCCCTATCGCACCCTTCTAGGTGGTCACACGATGCTTCATGTTTTCAAAGGACATTTTTAAATATGTTACTTTTAATAAAAGTGAAAGAGCCATACCTTGCCCTGTTTAGCAATGGTTTTAATTAGGAAGTCAGTTCTCACATTGTCAACATTTGGCACCAGGATGGAGCCATATTCTGGGGTGATATTAGATGGATACACATATTCCTCAGTACACGTCTTCCAGTGCATCCATTTACCTGAGGTGAACAGAGAACATTTACATCTTCATATTCCTATTAATAATTTAATTCCTAATTATAATGAGCAGACTTCCTTGAATCTCATGAGGCCATCTTCCAAAAATTCCCCACAAAGTAAAATTCATCAAATTCAGACATCTAAGTATTTCAGTATGTGTTCACTGAGTCAAAATTTCCCAAGAAACTATTCTCAAAGTGGTAATATTAGGAAATAGTAAGAAGTATCTTGGAATTTTCTTTTTAAACATGTAGGTTTTCAATAACAAAAAGTGTGTATAGAAATACAGGACAGGGGACTTCCCTCGTGGCACAGTGGTTAAGAATCCACCTGCCAATGCAGGGGACACAGGTTTGATCCCCTGTCTAGGAAGATCCCACATGCCACAGAGCAACTTAGCCCGTGCACCATGACTACTGAGCCCGCACACCACAACTACTGAAGCCCGCGCGCCTAGAGCCCGTGCTCCACAACAAGAGAACCCACCACGATGAGAAGCCCGCACAACGCAACGAAGAGCAGCCGCTGCTCGCTGCAACTAGAGAAAGCCCGCGCGCAGCAACAAAGACCCAGTGCAGCCAAAAATAAATAAATGAATAAATAATTTATTAAAAAGAAAAATACAGGACAGTGATAGTCGTATATACCTCAAATCATTTTTCATTATGTACTTCCCTAACTGCAAAACCAAAAATAAAACATCCTAGGATGCCATATATAAATATTATGTATATTTGTATTTCATATATGTACTTTATATATATGTATGCACATTTAAATAAACTTAAAGTATTGCAATACATGCATAGATACAGATGTATAGATATCCACACCTATTTCATAAAAATATGCCTACTTTGTCATTTTTTTATAAGTTGCTGACTATATCGAATGAATGGCTGAAATGGATCTGATTTGGTGATTTTTTTTACTTGTTTTTATTTCATTAAAAGTTCAGTACACGATATATTTAACAAGAAAATGTGCATTTGGAACTCAATTGAAATAAATATTTGGAAAAGAAACAATGGACTCTCTTTCATACACACATAAACATTTCCATTTCAATTTTACAGCCAAGAGTTTTAATTACCATTTAGAAATATAGATGATAGCTAGCTAGCTAGCTAGCTAGATGATAGATTGATAGATGATAGATAGTTTATCGGTAGATAGATAAATAGAGTGCAAATATTAGCCATTTTGGAAAAAACTGGTCCCACGTGTGATGGATGGATAGAAGAGAGGGGCTCACCATCAGATGCGACGTAATAGTCAAACATGGTGTCGTCAGGCCCTGCTAGAGGCGGCAGGTCCAAGGCCAGCCTCTCCTGGGAGCACAGCCAGTGTTCCATGCGACACCGGCCATCCAGTTCCAGCACTGCCCCGACGCTCCACATCAGGGAGAAGACGTAGAGTCTCCCCAGGTGCTCCGGCATGACCTCCCCACCTTGCTCCTGAGCACGAAAGAAACTTTTGTTTTACTTACTTAATTCTCAAACCAAAACTTGGCTTTGATATTTTAATGAAAATAGCAAAGATCTAAAAGGGATAACAGTTTTCCCCCAAAAACGAGAACGAGGGAAAGATGAATAAAACTGGAGAACAAATGCAGAACTGATCTCTGGGAATACCAAGCTGGTCTCCAAAATAAATTTTGAATGCTTGTTAGATGACTGCGAACCTGCCCCTAATCCACGAATCTGTGGTTTGCTTTGTGGAAAAAAAAAAAAAAAAGAAATGAAAGAAAAACACAAAATATGCAGTGTCCATGTTTGAAACCTCCCCACTTCCCTATGGTTCTAAGAATCATGTTCAAATATCGCAGACCCTGCACAATATGGCTCAGCTAAAAGGAGAGCGAGTTCTAGAAAGTTGAGCAATTTACCTTGAAAGGGATCAGGCCTTGAAGCATGTTGATGCTTTGCATGATCACAAAGGCCTCCAGCATCTCCATCTGGTATTCTAAGTTCTGAATACTGAAGTGATACAGGTCTGGAAACGACTTGGTGTACAGCTGACGAAGAATTTCAGCTTCTTGAGGCGAACGTTTTTTAAGAAAACCCTGTTGGTTTGCAGATGAATGCATTAATTGAATTTATTAGCACACCAGAAAAATGGCCATTTTTGGACAAAAGTTTTCTAAATATCAGTTAACAATAATAATTATAATATCTAATGATTATACTGCACTTCTGATGTACCAGACCTTGATATAAATTCTTTCATGTATTACCTCATTTAATGCTCAAAACAACTCTGTGAGGTAGGAATTGTTATTATCCTTTTACAGATGAGGAAACTAAGGCTCAAGGAGTTTAAGCAACATGACCAGGATCCCACAGCTGGTAGGTGTCAAAATTCAAACCCAGAGTCTGATTCCAACATCCCTACATGCAGCTACTACACTACACATAAGCTCATGTCTTGAAGCAAGAGGGAGGGAAAAGTCTTTGGCTCTTGATTAAAATATGCTAGGAGAAAATGAGGAGGCATACACATGGAAATAACTTAGAAAAAAGAAAAAGGAATAAAAGATGAACAAAGGAAATCCATCCCCAGATTTTTCAAAATAGGAAACAAAGGTTTATCACAATTTTATTTCTTCTAATTTAATGAATAACCAATGTAGAAAAAGCATCAAAGCATACTCAGGAAAATGGGGAATTTAGTCATTTGGAAAAACCCAATCTTAGGAAACTACATGTGATTCATAACAAAATACCACTTGACACAATATTTTCTTCGGGTAAGGAAAGTTCCCTTGGCATCAAGAGATCAGGTCATTCTTAGAGATTCTGAACAGAAGCAAAAAAATGTTGATTCCCAATCATCCATCATTTCATGAATTCAACATGATCGCACAGCGACAAAAAGGAAACATAGCACTTTCAAGTTGATGGTGCCATGTAATCAGCGTGGCTCACAGAGGCTCGCGGATTCCCATGAACCCAACTTCCCCATTGGTCTGCCCTCTAATAGTTCTCTCAGAGCTGCCCTACCCTGCCCTAAACACCTCCAGTCTTGTGAGTCTTGCTTCTTGCTAACCATTTGTAAGCAACTTAGCGCTAACGTAAAGGCCTTATTCAGCCTCAACGTGGACAGATATAATAGAAGCTCATTTCGTAAATAGCAAACTGTAAATATTCATTAGCTAATAGTGTAAAAGTATTGTTTAAAAGCCTTTGTGAATTTAAAGTATTTGGGGGAAAATCACAAATTCATTTTCACTTGGAGTTTGCTGCATCTGTGGTTACCAAGGCTGAATCCATTGTGGTACTTTTTTTAAAAAATTTTTTAAAAACAATAACTCCTGCACCTTCCTCCTCAGAGATTCTAAATTGATAGACTGAGGTATGACACAGTCATCTGCATTTTTTTTTCTTTTTTTTTTTTGCGGTACGCGGGCCTCTCACTGTTGTGGCCTCTCCCGTTGCGGAGCACAGGCTCCGGAAGCGCAGGCTCAGTGGCCATGGCTCACGGGCACAGCCGCTCCGTGGCACGTGGGATCTTCCCGGACCGGGGCACGAACCCGTGTCCCCTGCATCGGCAGGCAGACTCTCAACCACTGCACCACCAGGGAAGCCCAGTCATCTGTATTTTAAAGAACTGTCATTGGTGATTATTCTTGCAAAGCCAGGGTTGAGAACTCTTTCTCTGTATTCTTCTTAAAGGATGGATAATTTAACTGTGAAATCTGAAATCTTCAGAAGCATTTTCAATGACATATCCAGCTGTACTTCAGTATCATTTTGCTTTAAAATCCCCTCCTTCACATCTTCATCTACTTGATTTAAAATATGAATTCATAAGTTTTCAATCAGAATTATCTCCAAAAAACTTATGTAAATGAAAATAATAATTTGACCAACAATGTCAAAAGTGATTTTACAGGTGGCTTGTCTAATAAGCATTCTGCCTTACACTATAATATTTATTTAGTAAAATATCTAAGTATGCAAGGCATTCAATTATAATCATGATAATCAACATACTCTAACATACATTAGTAGTAATAAAATAATATACCTTATCATGAATTGAAAAGATATTATCTGAAATATTATTTCCAAGTGCAAACTTAAAACTAATGTTATGACTATTGAATCTCATAAAAATTCTTTATATGAATTTTAATAAACTGTCTCTTCGAGTTAATATTCTAAGACAGTTGTGTTCATGGGAATCCACGAGCAACTGAATGAGTACCTTTTTAAAATATCATGAGTCCCTAAAGTGATAAAATTTAATTTTCCTTATTCACTCACAGTTTGGTGGGATTGTTTTTTTTAATATTTATTTATTTATTTGGCTGCGCTGGGTCTTAGTTGCGGCATGCGGGCTCTTAGTTGCGGCATATGGGATCTAGTTCCCTGACCAGGCATCGAACCCAGGCCCCCTGAATTGAGAGCTCAGAGTCTTAACCACTGAACCACTAGAGAAGTCCCTAGTGGGATTATTGATTCACCTAGGCCTCACAATTATCCCCCAGCCCACGGGGTGTAATTCACAGGTCTAAAATTATTAGAACTGAAGAACCCTGAGCACTGAAGAAACCTGTAAGGGACAACCTGGGCTGAAGGTCCCAGAGCATTCAAGGATCTTCCACAAACATTAGCATTAAAATGCAATTACACCAACAGGTCTGCAGAAAAATCAGCGCACACTCTAAAAGAATGCTAAAGGATCTGTTTCCCTCTTTAAGTATACCAAAAAAAAAAAAAAAAACCAAAGATTCCAATCATACCTCAAGAATAGGACTCCAATCAAGGACAGAAGAACTCATGAAAACCATCCCATTTCTTGAGACAGTAGCAGGCGAAGCATTGTCAATGTTATGAGGTTCGAAAACAATCTTGCAGTTTGGAGCCATGGGAATCCGATCACCATTGGCAAGGGTTAGAGTTTTGTTATCATCCAAAACGGAATTCAGATTTTCAATCCAGATGGCATCTACTGGCCCATCAAGAACTATCCAGATATGCTCCCCTAGAACATCCCGCCAAGGGCAGGGAGAAAAGCATACACACACATATATGCAGATATACATAACTACTATGCTTGAGGAAGTGCTATAATTTGATGTAATTTTCATTAATTTTTAAATAAAGCTTTGATCTAAATGATTATCATATTTTGTCACATAGGACTCTTCCTGTTCTTTATATAGCAGTTGTTTAAAGCCCATAATCAAGAACAAGTCATTAGTTCATTGAACAGATATTCCCTGAGCACCTTCTCTGTATCAGCACAGTTTAAGGGTTATTGTGATAAAAAAGACAACATCCTGCCTTCACAGAGCTGACTTTCTAAGGGGTAGATGTGACAATCAAACCAATGTGCAAAGAAATATATAAGAAAAACTCAGCAGGATAAGAGGGTGAGGCATTTTAGATAAGGTGGTCAACGAAGTATTTCTGGAGGAGAATGAAGGGACGTAAAGATCTAGAGCTAGAATTTTTCAGGCAGTGGAAACAGTAGTTGCAAAGGTCCTGAAGTGGGTACAAGCTTAGGGTGATCATGTTCCAGGAACAGCAGGAAGTCGAACCTGGTTAGAAAGAAGAAGGGAAGGGGGAAAGGGATGTGAGTGATGTCAGAAAGGCAGAGCCACGGAGTCCATTCTGGTCTGCACACGTTTAGTCTGAGATGTCCAACAGACAGCCCATAGAGCTGTTGAGTTGGGAATTCAAGGGCTAGAGATTAAAATGTAGAAGCCATCAGCTTAGAGATGGCATTGAGAACCATGGCCTGGGTAAGCTTCTTCTAGATCATAAGTATAGATAGAGACAAGAGGTCTGAAGACACAAGCATTTCAACGTTTAGCCTTCTGGTAGGGTCTCCTGCCCGGCTTCCTCCCTCTGGCTGAGCTCTCAGTGAAACAGAAGTAGGAGGCGACTCAGCCAGTAAGGTATCCCTGAAGTCAAGTGGTGGAAGAGTTTCAAGAATAAGAGTGATTGGGCTTCCCTGGTGGCGCAGTGGTTGAGAGTCCGCCTGCCGATGCAAGGGACACGGGTTCGTGCCCCGGTCCGGGAAGATCCCACGTGCCGCGGAGCGGCTGGGCCCGTGAGCCATGGCCGCTGAGCCTGCGCGTCCGGAGCCTGTGCGTCGCAACGGGAGAGGCCACAACAGTGAGAGGCCCGCGTACCGCAAAAAAAAAAAAAAAAAAAAAAAAAAAAAAAAGAATAAGAGTGATTAACTGTGCCAGATGCTACTGAGAGCAGGATTATACTGAGAATCGATAGACTGTCCAACAAAAACGCCCTTGTAAATTTAGGTATTCAGTTTAATAGTTACCCTTAATTTCTTAACCACTAGTTACTCTTACTTACCAACACCATGACCAAGTTTGTAGTTCTAATTTTTATCTCTAATTTAACAACTGTGGAATATTCTAAGTCAAATCAAATGCTATGAAATTCCTAATCGTGCTCATTCAACTAGCAGTTTAAGTAAAATGATGATCTGATCACCAGAGTCCCTGTGAAAGGAAAAGTATATGTTGCCTTTCTGAAAAGGACTTCAGCAAAACCTCTCTAAGCACCTATTCTTTAAGGTAACATTTGGTTACTGGATCTGTGTTTACACAGGATTATTGGAACAAATCAGACACAAAATTTTATTGTATTCCCGTAAAACAGCAGCAATTTCAAATATGAGGACGCTTTAGAAATGAAGCGTTTTCTTTTCTCTTTTAACAATTGGTGTTGGGTTGATGAGCCACATTCTCTCAAAGAGAACATCAGCGGTGCCACTTTAAACGTTTTTCAACAGAACACTGTTGCCCAAAGTGTGGATTCGTGAAGCCCAAATGTGTCGTCCTCCTGCTATAGTCTTATTTGTCCCTGCAATTGCTTTGCACTATGCTTTTCTCTTACTCATTCAGGAGTGGGGGGAGAACTGATGTCACCTCTTCCATCTGAGCTTATTTTCTGGGGCCACTGGGCTCAAGTCCCTAAGTAAGAGACTATTCAGAGTGAACCAGTAGCCCTTAAGGAGTGTGTTTAAACAAAAAACACACACCCGTGTACATCTAAAAGAGAATAATTTGTTAGACTTCATTCTTTGATATACACAGTTTTCTTTCCAAAGAAGCCCATTTCCTCCTGTGATTTTATAGGAGAATCGATTTTCTAAAAATAGGCCATACTTAAACAAGAGTACCACTTTTTAACTCTTCAGTGAAAACAGTGATGATGGAATCACTTGAATACAGTACTATCAATGTTCCTTAACAGCTTTTTCTAACTATTTTATCCTAAGTGTCCACAGGAATATAGAAATATTTTTTTCAAAAGGAAAATAATTCCCTTTGTAACCAAACCAAAAGAGGGGGTATTTTAAATACACTAATCAGTCATTTCAGTATTTCAACATTCACAAATATCGTACTGATTTATGAGTTCTTGGTCTAGGATAAGATATAATATGGAGACTACAGTTGTTCTACTAATTTTAAATAGCCACAAAGGTTGTTATTTAGAAGTACACGTCAAAAATTATACTTGTAATTCATCTTCTACCTTTCTTAGCCCTCAATGTTTTCCTCCAAAGAGTAGAAAATATCCCTTCGGTCCAATCATTCGTTGCCACGTCAAGCCGACCAAACATCTGTGGAGCCGTAATCGCTTTGGGATTCATCCTCATTTCCCGGTGTGCTTTTCCACAATCTATACCAAGTAAATACAAATTTTAAACAACTCCCATGTAGAATGAACCATCATTAGGCAACATTGCACCAATTTGCAGTGTACTGTCAGCAGGTGTTCAAAACATGAAAAAATGCAAAATTACATTGAAAATACATGTCTTACTGCATTTCAAGTTATCATAATTACCCTCATTATATTTTATTGACTAAAGCACTTTTTATCTTCTGGAAAAGAAAACTGCATGTTACATAAGGGGGAAAATGCTACCATGCTGGAAGTGATGAAGGAGTTAATGTAGGATGGAAGTTCCTCAAATTTCACAGCTCAAAACTCTTCTGGTTTATGGTGTATTAGATTAACTCTTATATCTGAAATGTCACTTAAAGATACCTGATTCTCTCTGTTAACAGCTTTGATTTACTGAGATATGGTCTTACTCATCTGGAAAAAAATCAGCTAAACTAATGTTACAAAAATCAAGGATTTTTCTTCTGTGGTCAGCTTCAGAAAAGGTATTCAAATCTTTCAAACCCTAAAACTATTCCTAAATAAGATGGATTCTGTACATAGGGCACGGTAGTTACTAAGTAAAAAACTGAAGAATAAGATTTAAAGTATATTATATGTGGAATCTAAAAAAATGGTGCAAAAGAACTTATTTACAAAACAGAAATAGACTCACAGACATAGAAAACAAACTTACGGCTATCAAACGGGAAAGGGTGGGGAGGTATAAGTTAAGAGTTTGGGATTAAAATATATACACTACTATATGTAAAATAGATAATCAGCAAGGACCTACTGTATAGCACAGGGAACTCTGCTCAATATTCTGTAATAACCTAAATGGGAAAAGAACTTGAAAAAGAGTAGATATATGTATAATTGAATCACTTTGCTGTACACCTGAAACTAATACAATATAGTAAATCAACTGTATTTCAATTTAAAAAGTTTAAAGATTTAAAGTATAAAATCATAAAAATAGAGGCTAAAATATTACATACTGTGTGAAAGACTGACAAACACAGGCACACATATATAGATATGTACACTGGAAAAGGTGTTACATTAAAACCTACCTAGAAAATTAGAGAATAGTTATTTTTTTCCAAAATCACAAAAAGAATCAGGGTAATTATTTACAATATTTTACAGTGCTGAAAAATTCAACTTAGTCACAGTTCAGCTTTTTCAATACCTGACATCCGTAAGACTGGCAACATTTTTTTAAAAATCTAATCACACTTTACAAAAGGCCAGCAACCTCTTCAAATGTATCACAGGTGAAAACTGAACTTGGTCTGTTGCCCATACAAGAGAAACTATCAAAAATTATTTCATTATGGCTGTAGGTAGAATTATATCATATTCATTTAAATACGATACCATACATTTTTATAAGAGCACTCTAAGGGAAAAAAAAAAAAAACGGTTGACTTTTTAAATGTCGGTTAAACTAATTCCTCTTAATTCTTCTCCTAGGCATTTCTTGACTGTCCTGATCACTCCACCTTCATGGACTCTGCCCCAGAGTAAGCACCCTTTTCTTGCCGTCACCGTCTTAGGACCTCCTTATTGAAGTTCCCAGACAGCCCCCTCCCCCCGCCCCCGCCCCGTCCCAGTCTATTCTCTACGCGGCCACCGGATGGCCTTCTACACACAGGGCTAATCACACCACTCTCCAGCTCCATGGCTTCCCATTACCCACAGGATAAAATCTCGGTATTTACCGTGACTTACAGAGCTTCTCATGCCATGCCATCTGTACTACTTTGAATTCCCCCTGGAAGCAAAGCCTGAGACAAAGACATGGGACCTGAGAGTTTGGATTCAGGGGAAAGAGAGAGTGAGAAAGGAAAGGAGAGAGAGCCAATAAAGGGCTCATTGGTGAGCTGGTCACAGATGGAGTGTCCCTCTAAAAGACAGGAGGTGGGACATTTCCTTTCCACTCATTCCCTCATTGATTAAGGGTATGGCTGCCTCAGGAGCATTAATTCTCACCCAACCCCTTCTTCCAGGCTGAGCCAGTTCTCTAGCTTCAAGGAAAGTCATAAGGCTGAAAAACCGGGAGACACCGCTGGCATTTGGGGGAGAAACTCTCCAACAGCTGCATCTGTAGCAGGGGAGGGCCAAAGGGATGCGGCCCTGGGCACCAATAGCATCTGCTATACCTCCTCATCTCCCCCACTGCCACAAATTAGATTTCATCCATGCCAGAGAGCTTCTCCAGGCATTTCAAGCTCTCGTCAGTCCCTCCTACCTGCTCAGCCTCTTCTTCTAAGAATGCCTTTTATCCATCTGCTACTCAACCCTCAAACCTCAGACGAAGGAGCACCTGCTCTGTAAGCCTTTCTAGAATTCCTTCGAAAGGTTTCTGATCTCCTTTGCCTCTGCTCACATCATAATCGTCCAAATCTTCCTCATGTCCAACCTTCCATGCCGAGTTACAATTACCTGTGTCACTACACTACACTGTAAACTCCTTAGACACGTTCATTTTTTTTCCATGCCTGCTTTCCCATTTCTAGTACAGAACCTCAAAGTACAGAACATTAAAGATATTTGATGAACAAATACAAGATGAATAAGGGAACAAATAACATACATGGGTCCTGCAGAAGTTCAACCCAAGTACTTTCTCAATCTTTTGGATAATCAAAGTTTTCAGTAAAAACCAATGTCATTTAATATAACAAATGTTTACCCTACATAGTAAAACCAAGAACAGGTTAATAAACAGCAAACAGTCTAATAATTTATTCATCTTTGCAAAGAACTTCTCCAAAACCAGTGATGCCATATTGATTACATCATTTAGACATATTATACACAATATATCTCTGTAGTTTAATATTTAGTACTCATTTTGTTCAAGTCATTGTACCCAGTGCATTTGTAGTTTACTGTTAACAGAAGGCAGCTTCATAACAACAACAAAAGCATCTTTAAGCATAATTTGAGAAGGAGAATATATCATTTTAATGCTGTGTAAAAATCCCAAAGCAAAACCTTAATAGTACACATGAAAACCATGTGGTAAGTTTTGCAGGTGTGACCTCTCAGTTTTGGTGGAGGTAGGTGCTAGCTGCGAGCATAAGCCTGTCTCAGTGTGAAGACCCCCTGGTAGAGACCTGAGGTACAGAATTCACTTCGTCCCATAGCTGAGGAAATTGAGACTAAATCTAATGTATGCAGGACCCTAGAATAAATACAGACCATAGTCACCAACCAATATCGATGCATTGGGGTTCCATGAGCTGACTGGAAACCCAGCCGGGCAGCTTTTCCTTGTGGGACAATGTATGATGCATTCTAACAGCCAAAAGTTCTGTGAAATTTTGGAACTGCCATGGCTAAGGACTGTGAATACTTTTAAGAAGGAAGTTGTCAATGTCTAATCAGAACCGGAGAATACAAGAATAATCATGAAAAATGTAATGCCCATTATCCTTAGATAACTTTAGGTTAGGGACTTAGATGTAAAACTTAGGGACATCTGGAAATTAAATACGTTTATTTCACTTCACAAGAAAAATATCTGATTCTGGGTAGGAAATTAGTTTATAATTAGGGTGATTTTTCAATACATAGAATTTAAGAGCTGGGATTAGAATTATATTTATTGAGAGGTAGCATCTTGTGTTAAGTCATAAGTGGCAAATGGTATGGTTTACTGGGAAAATTCTGGGTTTTTCATTCATGGGACCTGACCTTAATTTTGAGTCTCATCATTTACCATCTTTTTGACACTGAATATTTCTGAAGTTAAATTTTGACTTTTTGGTACAAAATGGGGATAATGATAGCCACATCTCAAGATCATTTTGAAAACTAAATGGCATAACATATGTAAAACATATAGCACAGTCCATAAAATCACTTTAAAAAAATGTTTTTCCTGAAGCATTATTCAGAAAAGCCAAGATATGGAAACAACCTATGTGTCTACCAATGGATGAATGAATAAAGAAGATGTGGTATACATACACAATGGAATGTTATTCATCCATGAAAAATAAGGACATCCTGCCATTTGTGAAAACATGGAGGGACCTTGAGGGCATTATGCTGAGTGAAATAAGTCAGACAGAGAAACACAAATACTGTATGATATCACTTATATGTGGAATCTAAAAATGTCAAACTCAGAGAAAAAGATTGTAGAACGGTGGTCACCAGGGATTGGAGGTGAGGGAAATGGGGAGATATTGGAAAAGGGTACAAACTTCCAGTTATAAGATTAACAAATTTGGAGATCTAATGTACAGCATGGTGATTATAGCTAATAATACTGTATCATATACTTGAATATTTCTACGAAAGTAGATCTTAAATGCTCTCATCACAAAAAAGAAATGGTTATTATGTGATAAGATGGTGGTGGTAGCTAATGCTATGGTGATGATAATTTTGCAACATATAAAGGTATCAAATCAACACACTGTACACCTTAAACTTGCACATGTTATGTGTCCAAATTATATTTGTATACAATAAAGCTGGAAAAAAAAGTTTTTCTCCTCTGGTCCATTAATGTACTGTGTTATCTCTAAAATCCACCCAATAGTCAAAAAAGTAGCATCCCCTCCTATAAATATATGCTACCATACATCTACATTTGTGTCCCTCTTGGGGCATTCACATGTATCACAACAGTTTAAATATGTCTCCAGATTGACTGCCCCCTTACCTGTCATGGCGTTCATCAAGGTGTGGATGCAGGTGGTTTTCCCTGCTCCACTAGGCCCCAGGGTCATCATTCCATGCCGCACTCTCTGTGTTTCAAACAACTGGATGACTTTCAGCTTCCAAGGAGGATGGTTGATTAAACCAGCTTCTTCAACCTGAAAACATAACAAACCGCTCACATTGGGCCACATGAACAGATATCTGGACTTATCATTGTGCTCAAAATAAGTAGAGACATGGAGCGAGGTTAGAGAAATGGGGAATTATTGTTAATGCATATGAAGTTTCAGTTGGGAAAGATGAAAAAACTTCTGAAGACAGACAGTGGTGAGGTTTGCACAATACTATGAATATACTTAATGCCACTGAACTGTACACTTAAAAAATAGTTAAAATGGTGCATTTTATGTCATGTGTCTTGCCACAATGAAATATATATACTTTTGGCTGCACCGCAGGGCTTGTGGGATCTTAGTGCCCCAACCAGGGATGGAACCCGGGTCCACGGCAGTGAAAGCCCGAGTCTTAACCACTGGACTGCCAGGGAATTCCCAATAAAAAAATATATTGCATAAAAAATATATATACATAGGCAAAAGCAGGCTGAACATAATCAAAATGATATCCCAGGCAAACAAGAAACACCTACAGTTGACTTTGGGAATTAAATACACTTATATTAACATTTTATTGAATGTATGTATTAGGAGCAACTTAAGAATAAAGGCTCAAATACCAAAATGTGTTTTAAATGTTTAATTTAAAAGATGATATTTAATTTAAAAGATAATTTCAAGGGGCTTCTCTGGTGGTGCAGTGGTTGAGAATCTGCCTGCTAGTGCGGGAGACACGGGTTCAAGCCCTGGTCAGGGAGGACCCCACATGCCGCGGAGCAACTAGACCCGTGAGCCACAACTACTGAGCCTGCGTGTCTGGACCCTGTGCTCCGCAACAAGAGAGGCCGCGATAGTGAGAGGCCCGCGCACCACGACGAAGAGTGGCCCCCGCTTGCCACAACTAGAGAAAGCCCTCGCGCAGAAACGAAGACCCAACACAGCAAAAATAAATAAAACAAATTAATAAACTCCTACCCCCAACATCTTCTAAAAATAAAAGATAATTTCAAGCATACCAAGTTGACTGATATTCCATATCAATGTCAAGCCATCTTTATAAATCTTCTGGATAGTTTTTAATCTATCAAACACGTGTATGGAAGCTACGCTGCCAAACGCTATTCTAAGTTTAATCTTCTATGAGATTAGTACTATTGGTGTCTTCATTTTATAGGTAAGGAAACTGGGGCACAAAGAGACTAAGCAATTTATCTAAGATTATTAGTTGTTAAGTTATAGAGTAGGGATTGGAACCCAAGAAATTCATCCCTATGGTCCATGCTTTTAACCATCATGCTATGCTTAAATTCACTATAAATGATGCTCTTATTTTTACTTAAATAATTTTGGATAATAATCATGCATCATTTTATGCTATGTATTTTCTCTTCCGA